AACTTCATGATGTTGTGTTCATGCCTGGTCTATGCATTTCTCCATGTTCCTCTACCCTCTCACCCGGTCATGCCTACATGTTTCTCTAAGGGTGGTACAATGTGACATTGAGTTTTATACATCACACAGTCTTACAGCTTCCTTGTAAGGTAACAAACATGTTGCTCTGAGCTTCCCAACTTAGAACGTATATGTCATACGTGCGCTACTTTCCTTGTTATGTACATCTGTGGTACACTTGCATCAGTGGAAACATTTATGCTGAGTGAACATGTTACATGGCACACATACCTCTCTGAGCAATATATAGCTTTCCCCTGACATATGTTCTTTTCATGCATTCAAACTTGAAACTCCATAGGATAATACAGTGATTATGAAAACTAATAAAGATACATAATATTTAATAATGAAATAATATTAAAAGATGAAATTTTAGTCTTCACGTCGAATTGCCAGAAGGGGTTTTGAACACGATCAAACACGCCAGAGCGGATTCTACCAGAAAGCTCTATGCTGCAAAATGGTCTGTGTTCTCCAAATGGTGCACCGACAAGAATTTGGACCCACGGACGTGCGAGGTTTCGTCTTTGCTAGTGTTCCTTCAGGAGATGCTGGATAAGGGCAGGTCCCCATCCACTCTTAAGGTTTACGTGGCAGCCGTCGCGGCGTTCGTTGAACCCCGGCGCGCCCAGTCTCTGGGCAAAGACGAGCTAATCATCCGCTTCCTCAGGGGAGCCAGAAGGATGAACCCCCCTCGCCCCCCTACGGTGCCGGTCTGGGATCTTTCTATAGTTCTAGAAGCTCTGAAAGCCCCACCGTTTGAACCACTTGAGTCCGTGGAGTTAAAATACCTCTCGTTAAAAACCGTTCTTCTGACGGCTCTCGCCTCAGTAAAACGTGTGGGGGACATTCACGCGCTGTCTTCGAGCGCCGCGTGCCTAGAGTTTGGACCGAATGACTCCATAGTCATTCTAAAGCCTAGACACGGTTATGTTCCAAAAGCGATTGGTACCCCTTTCAGGGCGCAAGTGATCTCTCTATCAGCGCTGCCTGCATCCGATAGCGAACGTGACGCTGACCGCCTCTGCCCGGTTCGGGCTATCAGAGTGTACACTACACGCGTTGCCGCGTTCAGACGCTCGGAGCAGCTGTTTGTGTCGTTCGGTGGCCGCACCAAGGGACTAGCCGCCTCGAAACAGACCCTATCCAGGTGGATAGTAGACGCGATTGCCTCTGCTTATGCCGCTAAAGACCTGCCTTGCCCTCTGGGCATCAGGGCTCATTCCACCAGAGGCATGGCCTCATCGTGGGCATGGTCCTGCGGGATTTCCATTCACGACATTTGTGTGGCTGCGGGATGGGCCTCCCCCTCCACTTTTGTCAGATTTTATAACTTAGAAGTTCCAGCCTTACAGGCTAAAATTCTGGCGGTCTAGTACTCACAGCCCTCCTATAGAAGCCGCACTATCGGGAGTTCCATCACAACCGGCTCACCCCTTGTGTTCCCCTATGTCCTTATGCATTAGCCTACACATCACGGCCCGCTTTGCCGGCCGCCTTTGGGCGTTTTTGCACTAGATGATAACGGCCGCTATGCTGGCCGCCGTATTATCTTCATCCACTTATAGATTCCCCCGGTGTTTTCCCCCTGGGATGCTTAGTGGTTACTTAGCGCGCACGGCGTTGACCAGGTGTTACGCAATACGAGAGAACCTCTCGTAAGAGAACGAATCGGTTACCTAACGTAACCTCGGTTCTCTCTAGATGAGGGAACAAGTATTGCGTTCCCGGCCGTGCTTGCGCCACTAGCGTTTCGCTTCATGCTACAGAATCAACGAACGAGCTGGGAGAGCGACCTTTATACACTGTAGCCACGCCCCTTTTGGCGGGCTGTGACGCAGTGAGCGAGCGCCGTCCGCTCATTGGCCGCGGACTCAGCGCCGCTCTCCCATAGGTTCGTGCATTCTCTCTGAGCGAACCAATGAGCCGCTAGCTAGCCCGCTCATGGTCTGCCTCAGAAGAGACTGCGTTGACAATGATTACAAAATTATGGAATAATTTTTTGGCTTCAACTTCTCAGCAAAGATGAATCTTTCCCATAGCGTAAGCTAGCTTACGCAATACTCGTTCCCTCATCTAGAGAGAACCGAGGTTACGTTAGGTAACCGATTCGTTTTCCAGTCTCACTCACAGGAAAAAACTGCTCCGTGTTCAATCTAATTTAAAAAAGATAATCTTATGTTTTATTTTTTTATATATCACAAACGTCTGAATTTATAATACTATATGTAATGCTCTGGAAAGTATTCTACATGTTTAATAAATGTTCCAACTGCTTACACAAGGAAACAGTATGGGAAAGCGCACCCAGGTAAAAATAAGAATTTGACAAATTCTACAAACAATTTTAGTTTGCCAACAGTTAATAATAATAATAATAATATATATATATATATATATATATATATAATGGGAATATGAATATTATATGAAATATGAATATGTATATGTAATAACCATACAGATTTTTGAAGGCTGATAAAACATGGCTTGGCGGACATGATGACCCTATGGTGCCAGATTATTTGTTTATTTTTGTATTTCTATTAATTTTATGTATTTATCTTATTACAGTTTTTTTATTCGCTTTGGTACTATTTTCACAAGTAAGGTGTACATTTTCAAAACTCTTAGTACAAAAATCCAAACTGATCACACTTGTAACGCAGCTAGTCATTCTTTCAAAACCTGATGTAATGCTTTCAGTCAGTTGCACATGTTTTCAGTCCACATAATCATTATTTCAAACACAAGATTATTGTAATATGTAATGAGAACATTTGGTTTAATCACTGAAACACAACAATATGATCTTCTTTCAGTTTAGTACTTTTAACAATCAGTTCATCCAACAGCAAACAATGCAAGATACATGTTTCAAATCAGCCTTAGAAGTGCTGAAATGAATATGCTACAGTACTATAAAAGACAGATTACACAGTTTTACTGTAACATTAGGCAATACACTTACGGTACCCAACATTTACGTACATAATCTATAATTTCCAAATATCCATCATATATGGTATGTAGGCCTAATCAAGTGAAGGATCAATGAAGACATCCTCTACAATCATTTAGGCAAATTATAGTTTTTATTTTTCAGATAAAATTGTAACATAGGTGTACTTTCTATAATGAAATGTAACTACGTAAATAAGAACGAAACATAACATTTAGTGCACACATTACTGTATATAGTGGCCAATTGTGGTTACCACTATGTGAAATCAATTAGCTATAACGAGTATTCATCATGTGTGGTTACATGTAATTTACTTGTAAATATTCATAGAAACACACATTTTATTTCTGTAGTTCTCAAAATCCATATACTGTATATTGCTGAATTGAAAATCTATAGGTTTACCAAATGATTAATTGATTAAACATTAAGATCAGTTGGATTAAATAATAGACAATATTAAACTGAACAAAAAGAGATGCAAATCAAAAGTTTGATAGTAAGAGCTTTATGAAAGGCAGTTACTGTGAATGAAACAATAATGTAGATGAAACACTTATTTTGTGTTGTGTAAAGGATACTTTGTGATTGTGTGAATTGTACTAACACAGTTGAAAACATGATGAAATGTTTGAAAAAAGTGCACTTTTGATGATCTGTTGTGATATTAGCACTAAGAGTTTTGAAAATGTACACCTTACTTGTGAAAATAGTACCAAAGCGAATAAAAAAAAACTGTAAGTCCAGAAATGTTTTTTTTTTTTTTTCTGGTACTGTGCAATCCCCAACACCCCCCCCCCCCCCCATTTATTTTTTAAATAACCAAATTTAAAAGTTGAGACTGTTTCCGAAAGTAAGCTTGTCTGTCAGTGTGTTGTCAGTGTCCTCTCTGCTCCAATGTATTTTTCACTGCGTGAGAACATGATGTGGCATGAGAGGCGTGGCTTGTCGGACATAGCAACAGTATCTAAAGGGGGCTGGTCTTTTGCAAATGGTCAATTGGTAACTGATGTATTGATATTGTGTTGCAGTGGTGAAGCATCTCACAGGAGACTACCCCTTGTGACTGTCATTCCAACCTTTCCCAAAGATGTCCAGGCGAGGCTTGACACCAAGGAACTGTGTCACACAATTCCAAAAATACGCAACAAAATAATTAGAACGTTGTATGAAATGATGGCAGAATACACCCTGTAAGTATAACAATTATTACCACCTCTGCTACTTCAACTGTACTACTTGAAATCAATGTACAATTTATGTAGACCATTAGACAACCAAAAGATTAATTTTGTTTTTTTTTCTGCTTTTGTGCTAGGTATTCAACTAATACAGAGTATATTCAAGTTGCCAAGGCACTAGTTGTGAAATACCCTTTCCTGAGAGATAAGGAGGGCAATGGCTATGTAAGTTGCATTGTTTTTTAAGCCATTGATTTATCGGTTTACGAAATCCTCAATATATTGTTACTTGTGACTTGTTGGCATGTTCCAGAAAGTAAATATTGTGTTTTTTACTAGCACACCTGGCACATGTCCCTAAAGAGGAAGTTTAAAGCAGAATGTGCACCACTCGTCAGCGACAGTGAAGTCAGAAAGCTGAAAGAGAAGTTTGGCCATACAAAACACCAGTGCATCTACAAGTTTGTGTCGAAAGTCAGCGAGTGTACCATGTAAGCCCACTGCCATGTACATCATTTATTTTTTTCAAGATTCGCTTTTATTTAGTGCAGGTAGTATAAGGCAGATATTACTGACATTTAAATCTTTCACTGACTGAACATTAGGTCTCATTGTTCATGCAATGTTAATTTATTTTTTATTAATCTAAAAAAAACCTTGTTGTTCAATGAGTGTGCAAACTATTTGCATAATGTCATTTTCTGTCAATCTAAAAATTATCTGTTTCTGTTGTTCTGACAAAGGAAACTTGTGTTGGGGAGGATTCAACATCTGTTGAGGCCCATGTGAATATGCTTCAAAATGAGTATCGGAAGACGCATCCAGATATGTTGACTGTTAAAGACCGCATGACACGAACGTTCTCCTGGAGGCGTCGAGAAATCATGGCAGGAATGTCTGTGGAGGATGTACTCAAAAGATACCCATTCTTAAGAATGCCTGCTGGAGTGAGTATTGTAAAAACACCTTAATGTTGCAGGGAAGCAATATATTAATATTTTGGAAATTATGAAATTGTCACTAAAAACAAGGAAAATACACATTTCTGAAAATATCTTCTCAAAGCTACAGTATAGAAACCTAATGCTTTTCAGTGATAAGAATGAAGTATGTTAATCATGTCTTTGTGTATATTTTACAGTTTTTTAATGAGGTTGACCGAATGTATCCTTCAACAAGCAGCTTCTGCCATCGCTTCAGAGAGGGTTTTGCGAGTGTTCTGCCTAATGTGCTGAAACTTGCCAAGATCAAAACCCCACTAGCAAAAGAGTACACCGAAGCAAGACAAGATGCCCTGGCTGAAGATATACCAGGTAGAGACCGTTCCCTTGCTAGTGAACCTCACAATATTATCTGTAATTTACTTAACCACATTGCAAAATATTTTTCCAATATTTCAGGAATTGATTTGAGGGCTGGATTAATCCTCTTGCCATCCATCTTCAGAGAAAAGATTGAACACTACGTTACTGTAGAGGTAAGCTTCTGAATTCGGGTTGTGACAATAGTATCGTAAATCGACGGTAGTCCGAGATCACGCCCTTGACGATATCATTATGATGATTGGCTTGTATACCTATTATTCTATTAAATTAATATATGGCTATCTGAAACAAATCGTAATTGTGTTGCAGAATTTGAGGTATCGGCGAGTATCGTATCGCTGGCTGCGAGAACCGATGTCATGTTGTAATGAACAGTCCGATTTACACCCTTAACTAACAACACTAAAAACAATACAATTACAAAATATTAATATCACTAAAATTAAATAGCCCTAATGAGCCTAGTTCATAAACACGCCACAAATCTGTCATTTGTGAAAATCAAAAGAAGCTTAAAAAATAACTTGACAGAACTTTTTTTTTAACTGTCATTAATGCAGGTCCACGAGAAATAAGCCAATTAAGATGGTTGCTATCGGCTAAAGTAACCGTTAAAATACATCCATTGTCTTTGAGAGAACACGCTGTTAGTACAGTGACAGATGCTGAAAGCTCAGTCCCTTTCTGCTTTAAATTTCAGCCATCTACAGTATATACAGTGAAATTTCCAATAAAAGGTTTCCAATTAAATCCACCTTATGATTAATTGTAAAATCATCTTGTTTCAGAACTTCATGTAATATTTTATTGTGCTGTACTATTTTTAGCCCATCTGTTACAAATCTTAAAATATTGGTTTTAGAGAACCCGCATAACGTGAACTTTACATATTAGCCTTCTAATTGCTATAGCAGTTCTGCACTGTATGTAGCTTTACTGTCTATGCCATGAAATAGGCTGTAACAAAACTATGCCAAGTGCTTGCAGTAAAAATGCCAAAACTAAATTTATGTTTGTTTATTTGAATTTGAAAATCTGTTTTCTTTTATGTAGGGAGACCCTGCTTCACCATTTCCAACCATACAACTGATGGATAAAGACTGGAAAACGGCGATCATTGGAAGAGGGCTCAGTGTGGTGAATGTAGATGGAATAGATGTGTGCCAGTGCACCAGCCTTGATGAAGCCTTCATAACAGCCTTCTGTATGTACTTTACTTTCAACATTGCATATCTACCACACCTGAAAAACACACTGACTTTCCTTCAGAGGCGCATTGTCAACATTGTGGAAGAGGGAGACAAACCACTGCCAGTGACTTTACTCCGTATGATAAATCTTTTGTATTAAGTTTATCATCATGCCTCAACTGTACCATTGCCCAAAGTGCACTCGAAGGACATTCACTCTTGTGAACTTAATCCAACATGTTGGAGTTGCACGTGCACATGAACCAAATTTTAGTATCACCTGTGGTATAGATCAGTGCCAATCAACTTTTTCACGATTCCATTCTTTTAGAAAACATGTTTACAGGAAGCACAGATGCTTCGTTTTTGGAAAATCTACTAACATAAATGACTGCCCCAGTGAAGAGTCAGCAGTACAGCAACACGGCTTGAACCTAGATCAGCAAAATTCTGAGTCTGATCCAAATTCTTCTGATCCTCAAATAGTAATGCCACTTTTAGATAAACAATTAGAAGATTTCAGAGATAATCTATTTGGATTCATTCTAAAATGCAGAGAGAAAAACCTTCTACATTTCCCAGACAGCAAACTGACATTGAATCAACGTGGAAACAACGTCTCTTATGACATTGAAACAATGTTGATTTTGCTCATCGAATTAACGTTGAACCAACGTCAGACGCGGCATTCTTCAAAGCTAAATGAAAATCGAAAATTGGTTCGCTTTCATAACGTTGAAACAACGCGTTGATTTCAAGTTGATTTTCCGTTAGTTTTGAAAGAATGACGCGTCTGACGTTGGTTCAACGTTAATTCGATGAGCAAAACTATGTCAGATCAACGTTGTTTCGATGTCATATTTCCACGTTGATTCAATGTCAGTTTGCTATCTGGGTTGTCAGTTCAACAAGACATTGCTGATGATGTCAAATTTCTCTTTTGTTTTTTCAAAGATAACTATGATTCTTTTATTTCTTATCATCTTGAAAAAAGTGGTTTTGATATTTCAAAGTGCCCTGAACTTCAGCAGGTTTTGCACTCATCTGATTTATTTGATAAAGCCTTTGAGGTGGTTCATTCCCCGCATATGATTAAAGAACACTGTAAAGCCAAGATGGACTACACTGAGCCTGTACACCACACACTGAGAGTCCCTTCAGGGCACAAAATAGAAACCTATTGCTATGTTCCCATTTCTGAAGTTTTAAAAAAATACTGTTCCCATGAAGATGTCTGGAATACAGTCTGAAAATGACAAGGTCCAAGATGAACTGTTTTTGATGGACTATAAGGATGGACTTTATTTTAAGGAACATTTGTTTTTTTAGAGAACATTCAGATGCCTTAAGACTTCATTTCTATGAAGATGAATTGGAAATAGTTAACCCTTTAGGTTCTAAGAGAGCGAATTATAAGTTGTGTGCATTTTACTACACGGTTGGAAATGTAGGTGGAAAGTATCGATCTCACCTTAAGCATATTCACTTGGCTCTGCTGGTTCGTTATTCACATTTGAAAGAGTTTGGTATGGACGTCATATTAAAACCATTGATAGATGACCTCAAACAGCTGTCTACTGAAGGCATCACTGTAACTGTCTGTGGAACAGAACACAAAGTTTATGCTGCTTTAGCAACGGTTTCTGCTGACAATCTGTCATTGCATATGATTGCTGGCTTCCGCATGTGTTTTAACTCCGGCCGAATTTGCCGTTATCGTATGGGAACACATTCAGAAATTAATCAAAAATTCCAGGAAGATAGTTTTGTTCTGAGAACGACTGAAGTCCACCAATGTCATCTCCAGTGTGTCCAGCATAACCAAGAAAATGTTGCTTTGTATGGTGTACGTGGTTCATTTGATGCGCTAGGTTATTTTGATGTGACCAAGTCTTTGCCCCCAGACATCATGCATGATTTGTTAGAGGGAGTTTTTCCACTGACAATGAAACATGTTATTTGCGAAGCTCATAAACAAAAGCATATAACTATAACTGAGCTAAATGAAGAGCTTCAGAAAGGCCAATAAGCCTGTTCTGTTATCTGAACGACTTCTTCAAACTTCAGGGATCATAGGAACAGCTACTCAGAAATGGTGTCTTTTTAGATTGTTGCCATTTATAATGGGCCATTGTGTTCCTCCTGGCAGCAGATATTGGCATGTGTTCTTATTATGTAAAGAGATTGCAGATATTGTCATGGCAGCTAAATTGAGGAAAGATGAACTAGCATATCTACAAGTACATGTGCATGCATTCCTTTCAGAGATGACTGAAGTATTTGGAGATGTTTTAACACCTAAATGTCACTATAGCCCCTTTCACACAGAGATTCCAGAAAATACACGGATAATGTGACCCAGCATTTGTCCCGGAATGTTTGATTTCGGTTCATTCACACTGCAAGTGATTTGCCGGGATCTGTGAGTGCGTTCACACACAACCCGTAAAAATCCCGGGAAGACACATGACGTCAGGATGAGACGTAGGCTATAACGGACGCGTCGAAAACATGTACACGCGCATACCGTTCCACAAAGCTGGTGAACGATCTCAAGATCAAGAATCAAGAATCACTTTATTCGCCAAATGCATCAGCAGATACACAGGAATTTGATATGGCCATCAGTTACACACAAACTCACACACAAACATGTCTAAAACAATCAATAAAAAAAATAAAATAAATTAATTAATAAATAAAAATAATAATAATAAATAATAATAATAAAATAGTCAGAATAGGGCTAATTCAGCTATTTAATAGGGAAATGGCTCTTTTCCCTTCCGCACTGATCTCAGCTTCAGTACGGAAGGGCTGCACGTTTTCAAGTTTTTCATTAACCGTTAACCAAGGCACTTATCGGTTAATACTCGGTTAACCATATTGTGCGCGCCGCAACCTCGAGATACAGATTTAATTTTTAACACCTTTAATAACTGGTTGGACTCCATTTAAAACTAAATTAATTTATAGAAATAAAACGCAGTGGTAAGTTCAGAGCAGTTGCGCGTTTCCATCACCCTTCAAACTGAAATTGCCAATTGAAAATACGCACATTGGCAACACGTCCATTTCGCAAAAACTCCGTGTCCGCAAATAATAATAATAATCATCATTATAGTAACATTTTATAGGCTGCATATGTAGAAGACGCTTTTATCCAAAAAAGGAACAAAGCACAAATAAACACAATATTTTGACGCATATCCAGTGTGTGTGCTTGCAGTTTCATTGCAGTTCTTTCAGTGGAAAGAACTTAAAATACTCTTTCATTTCTGGTCATACAGAAAAAAATAATACATTATTCGCAAATACATTTATTTGCGTAAACTCACAATAACAAGAAAATGTTGTGCTTTAACAAACAGGCGCGATTCATGATCTCCGTGAACTGAAGCGCGAGAACTGAAACAGCCACCGCATTCGAATTTGTTCATTTTAAATTTGACATTTAAAGCTTTAAAGCTTTAAATGTCCAATTTAAAACGAACAAATTCAAATCAAAAGCCAATATCTTCTGACTATGTAATTATGTAGCCTAGCTAATTATGTATTTCTCTCTAAAGGTGCATCCGGGGATGGAGATTTGTTTTTAGCAGAAACTGATTTAGAAAACAATAGTTTATTAATAAACAATTAATGCCTCGTTATTTTATATTATTTTATTATCAGACACATTTATTATATCTTATAAATCATCTATAAATCCCCTTTCTGTAGGCTGTGGTTACGGCTCTTCTCATTCAGCACTGCGGGGAAAATATCATTTCCAGGTTCTAATTTGGCCTCAGAAAACCAGTAAAATCTTTTTTTTTTCCATATTCATTTGTCAAATATTTTAAATGTTTAAAGGGGCAAAAAATCAAACAAATATCTGAAAATTCGTCGATATATATAGCTGTGATGCCGGTACCGTGATGTGGCAGAAACACAGGAAGGAGGCTGGATCCAAACGCAGTGTATAGGCTTTATTTAGACAAACTATATATTTAACAAAGACTCAGAAACAGGACTCAGACACAGGAGCGACTAACATCGACCTCACACGTTCAACAACTCACAAACTAAGACAGAAACACAGGGCTTAAATAATCAGACAAGCAAACTTAACAAGGTAACAAGGGGGCGTGGACAATAGGAAACACCTGGAAAACTCAATAGACAGGGAACCACTAATAATACAAAGACACAAAACCACATCATGACAGAGCCCCTCCCCTATGGGCGGCTCCTGACGCCCATAAAAACAAAAAAGTTCCGGTGGGCGGTGAAGCGGAGGCGGTCTGGGGGAGGGACGGAGGGCCAGGCCCGTGCAGGGGAACGGGACCAGGAGGTAGCCAAGGCGAGCCTGGGCCCCGGAGCGTGGGCGGAGCAGGACCAGGCGAAGGCCAGGGTCTTCCAGGGCAGGACCAGGCGAAGGCCAGGGCGGAGCAGGACCAGGCGAAGGCCAGGGCGGAGCAGGCTGTGGACGTGACCAGGGCGGAACTGTGGAACCCTCGGGCATCCACAACAGTGAAGGTCCCTCAGACGGCCACGGCGGTGAAGACCTTTCGGGCAGCCACGGTGTTGAAGACCCCTCGGGCGGCCACGGCGGTGAAGACCCCTCGGGCGGCCACGGCGGAGAAGACCCCTCGGGCGGCCACGGCGGAGAAGACCCCTCGGGCGGCCACGGCGGAGAAGACCCCTCGGGCGGCCACGGCGGAGAAGACCCCTCGGGCAGCCACGGCGGTGAAGACCCCTCGGGCGGCCACGGCGGTGAAGACCCCTCGGGCGGCCACGGCGGTGAAGACCCCTCGGGCGGCCACGGCGGTGAAGACCCCTCGGGCGGCCACGGCGGAGAAGACCCCTCGGGCGGCCACGGCGGAGAAGACCCCTCGGGCGGCCACGGTGGAGAAGACCCCTCAGGCGGCCACGGCGGTGAAGACCCCTCGGGTGGCCACGGCGGAGACCTACTGCCCCCCCCCCCCCCCCCAAATTTTCTTGGGGTAGCTACGGGGACATAGGCTGGAGCAAGCACCGCCTCAGAAACAGTCTCCAGCTGGACGTGGCTGACGTGCAGCGCAGGCTCTGGAAGCTCTGCTTAGACGTGACGAGGCTCTGGAAGCTCTGCTGAGACGTGACGAGGCTCTGGAAGCTCTGCTGAGACGTGACGAGGCTCTGGAAGCTCTGCTGAGACGTGACGAGGCTCTGGAAGCTCTGCTGAGACGTGACGAGGCTCTGGAAGCTCTGCTGAGACGTGACGAGGCTCTGGAAGCTCTGCTGAGACGTGACGAGGCTCTGGAAGCTCTGCTGAGATGTGACGAGGCTCTGGAAGCTCTGCTGAGACGTGGAACAGCAGTGCGGGCTCAGCGGGCATGATGGTCGTGATAACATCCCTCTCTACCTCTCCAACAGTGAAGGGAGATCCACAAAACTGCAGGACAAAATCAATGAACTGCTCCAGGCTCCAACTGGGGTCCTCCTCTGGTAAATTTAAACCAATGTCTAGATCTAGTCCACTCCAGAAACAGTCCTTCAATGCATCTTCTACATC